GTCCTAGGCCCAACCATCTTCAGCTGCCTCATCAATGACCTTCCCTTCATCACAAGGTTAGACGTTAGGATTTTCGCTGATGATTGCACAATGTTCAGCACATTCATGACTCCTCAGAAAATGAAGCAGTCCACATACAAATGCAACAAGATCTGGACATATCAGGCTTGGGCTGACAAGTGGCAAGTTATATTTGTGCCACACAAATGCTAGGCAATGACAATCTCCAATAAGAGTCAATTTAACCACCTCCCCTTGACATTCAATGCAGTTATCATCACTGAATTCCTCACTTCAACAGCCTGGGGTCTACCATTGACCAGAACTCAACTTAACTCGCCATATAAATACAGTGGCCACAATAGCAGGTCAGAAGCTAGGAGTACTGTGGAAAGTAACTCACTTCCTGACTCCCCAAAGGCCATCCACCATTTACAAGTTACGAGTCAAGGGTATGATAGAATACTCAGCACTTACCTGGATAAGTGCAGCTCCAAGAACATTGATACAATCCAGCACAAAGCAGCCGGCTTGATTGCCACCACACCTACAAGCACCCACCACTCTCCACCACCAACATTCAGTCTTAGCACTGTCTACTATCTACAAGATGGTCAGCAAAAATTCCCAAAGTTCCTTAGACAGCACCTTCCAAACCTAGAACCACTTTCACTTTGTAGGACAAGGCAGCAGATACATGGGAACACCACCACCAGCAAGTCCCCCTCCAAGCCATTCACTCCCCTGGCTCGGAAATACACCGTCATTCCTTTCCTGCCACTAGGTCAAATCCTGGAATTCCTTCCCTAATGGCATTGTGGGTCAAACCACAGCATAGGGACCGCATCAGTTCAAGACGACAGCTCACCACCATCTTCCCAATGGCATCTAAGGATGGGCAACAAATGCAGGCCAGCTAGCGATACCCATGTCCCATGAGTGAATGAATAAAAAAAGCAACTTTCTAGAAGCTTTTCCAAAGTCAATGTCAGGCAGACAATCAACCTCGTGTGCTGCTTGATGGGCCTGGAATGCAAATAATTTTGTTGTAATGTGCTATGGAAAAGTAACCTTACATAACAGAGTTGCAGGTTACACTCATCCTACGAGGAAGTGTATTAATGAATTTCCCCTAAACCACTAGAATGGGCCATGGACAGTTGGCTATCTGCTAATCCACCCCCAGGAAATTTGATCATATGACTCCCACAGTACTAAACTCAACAGCCTTTTAACTATACAATTTTGAAACAGCAGGCAGTTTAGGAGTCAGTGCTGCTCCATAAAATATTTACTAATAAAGTCAACATCCTTAGCTCCAGTCTATAAAGGCAATGGCCTAGTGGTATTATTGCTGGACTGTTAATCCAGAGACCCAGATAACATTCTGGGGACCCAGGTTTGAATCCTGCCATGACAGATGGTGGAATTTGAATTCAATAAAATATGTGGAATTAAGAATCTAATGATGACCATGACCCATTGTTGATTATCAGAAAAACCCATCTGGTTCACTAACGTCCTTTAGGGAAGGAAACTGCCATCCTTATCTGGTCTGGCGTACATGTGACTCTAGACCCACAGCAACGTGGTTGACTCTGAACTGCCCTCCGAGCAATAAATGCTGCCTGGTCAGTGACACCCTCATTTCATGAATGAATAAAAACAAGAATAAAAAGCCTCTAGCCTGTAAAAATTAGCCACTAATCTGTATTTGTGTAATCTGGAAGTAAAAACCCTTTGCCAGAACAGTGAAACAAAAGTCATGTTTCAACAAAATTTGCTGTAAAGACTTTTGTACAAATGTTAAAGAGAAGATTTTACCTAGTATTCCTCAACTGCTGGCTAACCAATCAATCCACCTCTATAAAGAAATTACAACTTTGGACCTGTGGACTGCATTCTAAAAGCACATTGATAATCTGTTTATTCTCTTTATCTGCTCTGATCTTTATATTTTATCGTATTTTTATACATGTGCTTGTGTTGTGAGATTTCCCCTTCATCAAAGAGTATGTGGCTTAACTTTACTACAGTGTTCCTGTGGTCCTTGCAAGTCAGAACTCATAAGCAGAGGGAGTAAGGGAAGTGCACCCACACTGCATAAAAGAGGGGTAATAAAAAAAACAACAGTCTGCTTATGGACAGATGGCAAAAGTAGGAGGAGAGATTTGTTTTAAAACTTGCAATCTATCTGTTATAGGCTGCTATCCCAAAACTGTCAAATCATGTTTCCATGTTAGGTATTAGATTAGCCTAGATCTAGAGCTTAGGCCAATCAATTGTCTTTTTTTTTATTTAGCCTATTTTTCTACTCAACCTGTTCAGAGATATTATTACACACCTCTAGAACATGTGGGACCTGAATCCCAACCGCCTGATCCAGGGGTAGGGACTCGATGTCTGTACCAGAAGAGGACCCTCAAGTGTCCTTTATTCATATTTATAATTTATAATTATAATTAACTTCTAACTGTCTAAGCCATTAGCTTGGATGGTTCTCAACTTGTCAGTTTGTTGGTAGATTAGGAACAGCTATCAATAACTTCAGCGGAATCATTGTCAAGGAGTTCTTGCTTACCTTTGAAAATGTTAACTGAATTTCAGAAGGTCTCATAATATCTTCATGAGATAATTAGTCTGGACCCAATACCAACTGAATTGACAGGGTTGTCACGTAATTTCTTGGATCTACTTTGTAAGGTTCTGTCCTTCCATTTTAAAGACAGATTAGCTTTCTTTTCAAAATATATATAACTACATGTTTGTGACACTGTGTATTGTGCAGTCCTGTCATGTAGGTGCCACATGACACTCACCATCTCAAATCTTGAGATAATTTAAGTGCTTGCAGGACTGGACCCATGTACTCTCAGTCACTCTACAAATGTTCACCTCCTCCATCTCCAGCCGTGCATTTCTGATCTCCTGAAATGCATTTCTCAGAGTCTGGGAAGAAAATCTGCCAAAGCTTCTGTAGGATCAATTCGCTCATATCTATTTGGAAGTAGTATGACAATGTCATGTGGTCAGGATCCAAAACTGATCTGATGACTGGGTTACTGAACCAGAATTGAAAATCCCAGCCCTAGAGACGAAAGAGTTAAAAAGTATAAAAACTAACACTTAGGTGATATTTGCATTGTTTCTGGCACTGAACCTGAAATTCATTTGGAAACCATACAGGGCCTTCCTGAAATAATGGCTCAAATGTTGTGTGGTTTGGAAACAGAAATATTTGTGTATTTAAGATGTTCAACTTTGCAGTCTCAATTCCAGTTAAACCATTAGTATTAAAAATATTTTGGCTGACTATGACTATAAGAGCAACACGGAGTGGGTTGGGGGGTGCAGTGGGGTGGTGATAGTCAACAATAAAACAGTCAACAATTAAGCATTCTGGATTTGACCTACAACCTATTACAAGGGCAAAAAGGAAGGCTGGAACTTGAAAGACTCCCACATCTGCAGTACATCTGCCTGGAGAATATTGTTACAGTCGATTCCTCCTACATGTTTTTCATTGATATTTGCATCAGTGCTGAATATGGAGACAAATCGGTTGGATTTTCATCTTCGAGGGAGTTATGGAGAGTTGGGAAATTTCCCAGCGCCCGCTTCAGGATAAACTGCCACTAAATGCAGGATTTTCCTTCTCAGGGATGTGGGTGAGAACAAGGTTAGGCCCACCACCCCTGGAAAGAGTTCAGGGGCAGACAGAGAAGCAGTTGAAACCTGAGACAGGCTATTTAAAAAAGCCATTGTACTCTGAGAAGTTATCTCAGTTGTAGTAATGACAGAAAAGCAAACAACATTCCTCTGGCCCTCATCTCCAAGTCCCATCCATGCCAACTCATGTCTCCTCCACTACTTTCACTGGCAGTGAGCTCCAGGTCATTACTGTTGTGTAAACTATGTTCTTCCTCACAACCATCTCCTCCCACTCGCACCATATGTTTTCCCAAAATCTTAAATCTATGTCGCCTAGGCCTTGTACCATCTAATTTTCTTTATCTAATTTATCGAACTTTGTCATAATCTTGTACACCTCTGTGTACAAAATTCCTTTGCTTTGATGGAAAGCAATCCTACCTGCTCCAACCTAGCATTCTAGCTAAAATCCCTCATTCTTGGAACCATTCTATTCAATGGATTCTGCATTCTATCAAAGACCCCCCCGCCATCCATCCTAAAATGTCATTAGCAGGACCAAACCCAATATTCCATCTGTAGCCTAACCAGAGCTTTATAAAGGAAAAATACAACTTTGAATGAAATAGATATCTGGAATTAAGAGTCTATTGATGAACAATTAATTGATTATTGGAAAAACCCATCTGGTTCGCTAATGTCCTTTAGGGAAGAAAATTGCTGTCCTTACCTAGGCAGACCTACATGTGACTCCAGACCCACAACAATGTGGTTGATATTTAACTGCCTCTGATGGGTAATAATTGCTGGCCTGGCCAGTAATGCCCCATCTCAGGAAATACTTTTTAAAAGACCCTGCAGTAAACTCTATTTGCGACTTGTCTGTCTATTCTATTATCTATATCCTGTAACCTTTCTAAGTAATTGTCAATTTAACATCAATTGTGTTGAATTTTTGGACAGATTTCCAGTGTAACCGCATACCGAATACATGCTATGTCCAAACTGTCCAATTTCATCTCAAACAAGATTCTTACACCACTAGAGCAACAGATAATAGCCATATCCCAAAAGTTTGGCTGGATTCAAGCCTATACATGAGAGATGAAAGGGCAATGTGTTAACCAAATGTGTTAGTTCCCCTTTGTGACACCACTTTATATTTCATTGCTAAGAATGACTTGCAGTTCACCATCTTCAATAGTCAAGCTTCAAGTAATTTTATAATTTTATTGTATTTTCCAACTACTACTTACGTGATTCATATTATTTTCTAACAGCAATATCTGAACACAATTACAGTAACAATTAAATAAAAATTACATTCTTTCAATCAATGCATATCTTACCTATGCCTGAACAAGGATATTTGTTTGGGTTACATCCATGTCTTGTTTGCGCATGAGAGTCAGAGGTTATTTTCTGGTAATCATGCCTCTGGGTGCTTTCCAAGCTGTAAGCTGGTATGTGCTGTGTCAAAAATGGTGATTCATGTTTCATCCAATGAAACTGTTAAACAATGACAAAGCAGTGATCATCTTTATTCTCCTTCCTTACTGTGTTTTTAAAATGTGATATTTCCTGTTTGCCACATTATTCCCCTGTGTTGCATCTGCTGATTTACTTCTTAGGCATGTAAGCATGCCAGAAAATGGAATGGGAACAATTAAGCTTTTTCCCATGTTTTTATTCTTTTATTTTGGTTGTTTGGTTGGTTATTTGTTTATTTTGGAGGTTCACAAAACTGTGTTTCAGGTTTGTCTCTTCAATTTAGGGTAAAATGTAGGGAAGAAGGGAGTTCAATTTGCCTGTTGTTCAAGGTTAAAAGGAGGCTCAGGTTATTTTACTGTAGAGGAGTTGGAAGGTATTTACATCAGTAAACAATGATCTGAGGAGCTGAGTTCTGAGGAAGGTCACTGGACCCGAAACGTAAACTCTGATTTTCTCTCCACAGATGCTGCCAGTCCTGCTGAGCTTTTCCAGCAACTTCTGTTTTTGTATCTGAGTAGCTGTGTTGGTGCAGGTAGACTCCAAAGTTTCCCGGGAATGATATTGGGAGCACTGGGTTTTGTTAATGATAATACTTTAAATTGTCTATTTAGTTCCAAGATAGAATTGCATTTACTAATTCGCATTTCTACCTTTTGATTAACATTGTCATGGAGATGAGCTCTGAGAATTGAAGAGCCTATAGGAAGCCATTGTAGGATTTGCCTGTAGGTTTTTGAGACAGGGAACAAGACTCCATTGCTCAACATGCAGGATGTGGATGAGAGCTCACATGCAAACTGAAAAGGTCAGAAGTCACACAACACCAGGTTATAGTCCAACAGGTTTATTTGAAATCACAAGCTTTCCAAGCACTGCTCCTTCATCAGATGAAGTGAACAGAAGCACACAGGCATAGAATTTATAGGCAGAGAGATCAAAAGATCATACAAATTGTGTGAGTGGAGTGTCAACAGACTGAACAACAAGTCTCTGCAGGTGATCAGAAGTGTTAGATGGCGTGAGTAAAGTGTCAACAGCTGAATAACAAGTGAAGGGATGACCTATAATCTGATTAATTGAAGCAGAGAGATAATTACAAAAAAATAAAAATAAGATGCTACTGGAGACAAATCAAATGGCTGGAACAACATGATAGGTATAAGAGTCGCATGTTGAGGGTCTAACCAAAGGAACAAGTAATCCAAAACTTAAAAAAAAATTAATGTAGTTTTCCACATTTTCATGACATGAAGCCAGGTTTTTAGGATGCTGGGGTTTCTCAAAGCTCCACCTGAAGAATCTATTAGTACCAATTATCCCACAGCTATTTCTCCAAGAAGTATTAATTGACTGGAGACCAATTCTATTCAGGTATGCCTGCTATGGAAAGGGGCCCACTGAGGGAGGCATTCCTCTTCCTGCTTTAGGCTCAAGCACGGTGATTTGCTGGAATTTTTCCTCTAATCAGCTTCAAAATTGAGGTCAGGTGCAAAACAGCTCTTAAGCAGTCATTATTTGCCCATTTAAGGACCACAAATGGGGCAAGGGCAGGTGGTCAGCCTAGGCCTCATGCAGTAAAACAGCAGACAGATGAAGATAGGAGGAGAGGTGGTGAAAAGCCCATCAGGAGAATTTTATGAGTCGTGCTTCCCCCTGCAAACTTACCAGCAGTGGAACTTAAAATTCTACCAATAGTATCTAAAGCAGGTTACAATACAGCCAGATTATTGTTCCCATTCTTCTGTTTCATTATCTTTGAAATGAAGCACATGGGGCAGCAAATAAAAACCAAAAGAACTGTGGATGCTGTAAATCAGGAACAAAAACAGAAGTTGCTGGAAAAGCTCAGCAGGTCCGGCAGCACCTATGAAGAAAAAAATCAGAGTTAACGTTTCGGTCCAGTGACCCTTCCTCATAACTGATGGTTGCTGGGACAACATCGGTTTATATGCAGAAAATAGGGAGGGGGATGGGGTAGGGTGTAAATGATAGGATAGAACCCAAAGAGAGAGAAGAGCAGTTGGATAGATGAAGGAGTTGATAATGATCTGTCTGGGAGGGTGAATAGTTGTTAATGGGGACTGTCAGTGACTAGCAATGGGTAGTGTGTAAAGGCAGGCTATGTGATAACAAGGCCTGGTGTGTGGAGTAGGGTATTAGGACATGGGAGAGTTTAGGCCCTAAAATGATTGAACTTAATATTGAGTCCAGAGGGCTGCAGGGTCCCCAAGCAGAAAATGAGGTGTTGTTCTTCCAGCTTGTGCTGAACTTTGCTGGAACACTACAGCAAAACAGAGACAGAGATGCTGGCCAGGTAACAAGATGGTGTGTTAAACTGGCAAGCAATAGGTAGCTCAGGGACTTTTTTGCAAGCAGAATGCAGATGTTCTGCAAAGCGGTCACCCAGTCTACGCTTCGTTTCCCCAATGATTACATTGTGACCGGCGAATGCAATAGACTAGATTCTGGGAAGTGCAGGTGATGTGTTGCTTCACCCAGAAGGTACGTTTGGGCCTTGGATACTGTGGAGGGAGGAGGTAAACGAGCAGGTGTTACACCTTCACCGATTACAGGGGAAGGTGTCAGAGGGCTGTGGGGGGTGTGTTGGGGGTGAAAGAAGAGCGGACCAGGGTGTCCGGACGGTATGGTCCTTGCGGAAGGTGGACAAGGGAGGGGAGAGGAATATGTGTCTGATGGTAGCTGGAGATGGTGGAAATGGCATCTGATGATCTTCTGGATGTGGATGCTGGTGGGATGGTGCTTAATGACAAGGGGAGCCCTACTGCTGTTGGGGGATGGAAGAGAAGGGGTGAGGGCGGAAATACGGGAGATGGGTCAGACCCATTTGAGGGCCCTGTTGACAACGGTGCTGGGAAATCCTTAGTTGAGGAAGAAGGTGGACATTTCGGAGGCACCCTTGTCAAAGTTGGCCTCATTCGAACATATACAACGGAGACAGAGGAACTGAGAGAATGGGATGGAGTCTTTACAGGAAGCAGGGTGTGAGGATATATAGTCCAGGTAGCTGTGGAAGTCAGTGGGTTTACAATGGATATTAGTGGCTAGCCTATCCCCAGAAATGGAAACAGATGTCGAGGAAGGGAAGGGAGGAGTCAGGGATAGACCAGGTGAAAGTGAGGGCAGGGTGGAAATTGGAAGTGAAATCGATGAACTTTTCCAATTCTGGACGAGAGAGGGAAGCAGCACCAATGATATCATCGAAATATCAGAGGAAGAGTTGTGGGTGGGGCTGGAATAGGACTGGAACAAGGAATATTCCACGTACCCCACGAACAGACAGGCATAACTGGGGCCCATGCAGGTATCCATGGCCCTCCCTCTGACCTGAAGAAAATGACAGGAGTTAAAAGAGAAGTTGTTAGGGGCGAGGACAAGCATGGCCAAGCAGAGGAGGGTGGTGGTGGGTGGGGATGGTTCAGGTCTTTGCTCCAGGAGGAAGCGGAGAGTCCTAAGACCCTCCTGGCAGGGAATGGACATGTAAAGGGATTGCACATCCATGGTAAAGAGGAGGCAGCTGGAACCTGCAAACTGGAAGTTTTGAAACCGGTGTAAAGCGTCAAAGGAATCACAGAAGTATGTGGGCAGGGATTGGACGAGGGGAAAAAAGACTGTGTCAAGGTAGGAAGAGATGGGTTCTGTGGGGCAGGAGCAGGCTGAAACAATGGGTCTGCCTGGACAGTCCTGTTTGTGGATTTTTGGAAGGAGGTAGAAGCGAGCTGTGCGGGGCTGAGGGACTATAAGCTTGGAAGCAATGTGGGGGAGATCACCAGATGAAATGAGATCAGTTACCGTAGTAGATACAATGGCCTGATGCATCATGGTGGGGTCATGGTCCAGGGGAAGATAGGAGGAGGTATCTGAGAGCTGGCGCTCAGCCTCTGCAATGTAGAGGTCAATATGCCAGACTACGACAGTGCCATCCTTATCAGCAGGCTCAATAACAAAGTCCAGGTTAGATCTAAGCACCCACAGTGCAGTCAGTTCGGAGGGAGATAGGTCGGATTTGGTGAGGGGGGCAGAAAAATTGAGGCGACCAATATCATGTCAACAGTTCTCAATGAACAGATCGAGTGCAGGTAAAAGGCCAGAGGGAGGGGTTCAGGTGTAGGGACAGTTGGAAATGGGCAAAGGGGTCTGTGGGACGGGGTCAGGACTCTTGTCCAAAGAAATGGGCACAAAGGCGAAGACAGCGGAAGAAGAGTTCGGCATCATGTCCTGCCCAAAATTTGTTAAGGTAGGGACGCAGAGGAATAAAGCCGAGGCCTTTGCTGAGTACAGAATGTTCAGCATTGGAGAACGGAAGGTTAGGAGGGATGGTGAATACCCAACAGGAGGTGGAGTTTGGGGTGGCAAGTAAGGGAACATGGTGCAAAATAAGATGTGGGCGGCAGAGTTTTGGAATTGTGATTGCTTCTGTTTGCCAGGAATAGCTAAAGCAACAAACAATCCTCTGCTACAGGGAATGTCCTCAGTATTTACTCAAAGCACAGAAAGTATTTGACAGAGTGGATACCAGATAAATAGGCAGAGTAAGTATACATTCCAAGATTTTTGAGCACATTGTGTAAATGCTGATAGAGAAGTCCACAGTTCACAATAACATGATCAGGAATCATTCCGTGACTACAATATTCGTGAAGGTCTTGGATTGCATTACAAACCTACATCATAAAGTTTCAGCAGGTTTTGAATAGCTAAGAGGCAGAGACAGTCACACTGTAAAAGGCCCATTCCATTCTACAAGTCATGCGGCATAGTTACAGCCAGGATCTTTCAAAAATACAGAATTATTACTTATTTTGAGCTGTTCAGGTTGATCAACTGTGAACTGTGACAGTGATTTAATGAGAAATGCAAAAGAAACACAAGAAACTAAGACTTTCTAAACTGCTTCAGAAAGAATAAAAGTTGAAAGATTTGCTAGATTTTTAATTCTTTTTATTCAAGTATTCCACATTTATTTTTCTTTGTAACTGTGATTCCCCATTAAGATTTTGCAAATAGCGCTTATATTCACCATTCCTTTTCCGCTAATGGATATAATTTTGACTATTGAGTACAGTTCAATTATATGAAAGGAAAAGTGTACTTTATCTTAAAGAAAGGCTAATATTGTAATGTCGTCAACTAACAAGAAAATATGGGGGAAAATAACTCACCGGTTAATATTCGTGGTATTGTGTATAGCTATACAGGAAATATCCACCTTTGATATAGCTAATATATCTGACTTAAGATATGAGGCAACTGTGTATCTTACTATAAAGACTAATTACTCATTCCTATTAATTACAATGCTATAAAGGTATGTAAATTATTTAATACCTGTGCATGCATAAACAGTCTCGCTCTGGGGCATAACTCGCAACAAAACACTTACACAATAATCATGTTCAGATCACCGTGTAGTCATGAATGTTCTTACAACTTTAGGTGATTGTGTAAAAACAAGACTTTAATTTCAAAGGTATCATCTGTCAAATCTGTTGCCTAACACATTCAAGTTACATGTGTCAGCTGTATCCATTCGTGCACTCCTGGGCAAAAACAATTCCTGTTAACATTCAACAAGTCATTCTCCAGAGTTGAATCCAGACATTTTTTTCAACATATTATTACTCATTTTGAGATGTTTAGATTGATCAGCTGAGACAGTTATTTAATGAGAAATACTAAATTTGCAAGAAAATAATCAAATTCCCAGCATCTAAGAATACTTGTTAGAATTGTGTTTTTTAAATCATAATTTTCTAGGGAGTTAACAAGCAACTTTCTGATCTTTCCAGTTGAACCTTAGGAGGATATACAAAGGCAAGCAAGGTTGTCTTAGCCATAAGACGTAAGATATAGGAGCAGAATTAGACCATTCAGCCCACCAAGTCTGCTGTGCCATTTAATCATGGCTGATGTGTTTCTCAACTCCACTCTCTTGCTTTCTCCCCGTAATCCTTGATCCCCTTACTAATAAAGAACCTATCTATATTTATTTTATAAACGCTCAATGACTTGGCTTCCACAGTCTTGTGCAACAACAAGTTCCACAGATTCACCACCCTCTGGCTGAAGGAATTCCTCATCTCTGTTCTAAAGAGTCGACCCTTCACTCTGAGGCTGTGCCCTCAGGTCCTAGTTTCTCCTACTAGTGAAACTACCTGCTCCATGTCCACTCTATCCAAGCCCTTAGTATTCTGTAAGTTTCAATGAGATTCACCCCTCATCTTCTAAACTCTATCGAGTACAGACCCAGAGTACTCAAACGCTCCTCATATGACAAGCTGTTCATTTCCAGGATCATTCTTGTGAACTTCCTCTGGACTTCCTCCAAGGCCAGTGCATCTTTCCTTGGATATGGAGCCCAAAACTGCTCACAATATTCAAAATGCAGTCTGACCATAGGCTTATACAGCCTCAGCAGTACATCACTGTTCTTGTATTCTAGTCCTCTTGGAATAACTGCTAACATTGCATCTGTCTTCCTAGCTGCCAACTAATCCCGCATGTTAACCTTAAGAGTGACAGGATTGACAGAAATACATTGATTTAAGCCTGGTGTTTTTGATACTTCTTAGTAAGCAATTAGTTAATTCATATATGACGATATACATTTGGAACTGCATTTTGACTCAATTCACTACATCATTTTATATTATGTACCTCCAATTTTTCCATTCTGTCAAAACATACCACACTGCCATTCCAAACTCTGTTTTCCATATCTTATTTTGTACAATGTCACAGTCACCTATAACCCCATGTCTTTGCTGACTACCCTGAATCCCAATTCCCATATTGCCTTAAATTCAAAATTCTCATGGTGTTGAAATGCATCCACATTTTTTGACCTACCTATTACTATAATCTCCTCCAGCCCTACAAATCCATGAGAACTTCTCCATTTGTTTAAATCTAGCCACTTTCACATCCTCTACCTTTTAGACATCTTTAGCAGCCATGGTTCAGCTGCTTGGACTCTACAGCCTGGAATTCTTGTCTTAAATTATTCTATCTTCCTGTCTACATTTGAGATTCCTCTCAAAACCCATTCACTTTTTTGAGTTCAGCTCCCTAAAAGATCATATTTTCTCACAGATTGTATATAAAGACAGATCTTTGTTGTTCAAATCTTACTCAGAATGCCTTGTGTTTTTAAATATGTGTATAAATTACAAAATTAAAAGAGATATATATTTGTATATTTAATTTTGCTGCACTCAATAACTTAAAAAAATTAATATGACGCATGTATGAACTAAGATTCACCATGACTTACCTGCTCTGGCAGTGTATCTTCAGCTTCCATATATGCAAATGGCTCATTAATAAATCTTGTATTACTTCTAATATATTTTGCATAATGAGGTTGGGGTTTATTACGATTTGGTGATCTTGGGCGTTGAGGGAAGGCCTTGGTGCTATCATGGAGATTATTGAATATTCCTGAAGTATTTGGGCTGAAACCATGGAGACCAAACAATTATTTAATTAAATAGTTATAGATACATGTTAAACATCAACATTAATCAAAATAAGCTTCCTTATTTATGTACATTTTATTGCTTTCACTTTGAAAATAATTGCTTTTCTCCTGATTTGTTTCCAAACACTACTTACATTCTTTGACAGAGAAAGTAGGAAAATAGCTCGTTGCTAGGCACTTTCTGTAGTGTCTTGAAGGTGCCAATTTTGAAAGCAGCAGGTGATGCTCGAGGTTAGGGAATCTTTTACAATATCAGCTCAAATGAGAGACAGGAAAGGAAATTAGGTTGTCAGATTGAATGAGCTGGAGATAGGTCTCCTACATTATGTGACCTTGAAGTGAGAAGTGGGAATTTGGGTGAGAAACAAAGGCTTGAGGTGAGGACAGAGTTGTAGATCACTGTATGTTTAGGTGAGGAAATAAATGGAGAGCTGAAGCCACAGATATAGCTGAATGAATGGCCTCTAATTTGGTAATTTAAAAAAAGCCTCATACTTATTGTTGGTGTGGGGGGAAATGGAAAGGACTGAAGGAGACAACTACTAGTGGAGAATCAGTTAACTTAGTTCTCCAGAAAACTGATGTGGTTTGTTTGTAGACGGGACAGCAGGGTTTGATAGGCACACTTGGGTTTTTGCCCCATCTTGAGGCAGGGGAAATGGGGGAGTACTAGACTAAGATATGAGAAAGGGACTACTGGGAAGTGGAATAGAGATTTTATTCAAGACAAACTCTAAGCTAAGAAAACAGTTGCAAAGAAAAATAAGATATACACAGATAAGTAACAGTTGGAGTTGTCTGTAATCTACCAGGAAGGGAAAAGATTTCCAGGGAAAGATGAAGAAGTCAGTGGAGTTAAAAGATGATAAGAGGAAATTTATGTCTTATCATTCACTCAGATAATGAGAGTGAAGAAACCATGGGAAATGTTGAGGTTAGGACAATGGAAATGAATATAATTAGGAGCATTTAAAGAGACGTTCACAGGTAGTTGAGGTATAGATTGAAATTGTCTCGGATGAGAAATCTTTTTACACAAATTTGAGGGGGTGGGGGTGAACAGAAGAAAGGACATCAAAGAGAAATTCAAGCAGATCTTGATGGCATAGAAGAAAATGAGAAGTTTAAAAGAAATGCAAAAGACAAGGTAAAACAGAATAAGGTCTGGTGATCGAAGGAATAAGAAGACATTAGATGATGGCAAAAGCCAATGTGTGACTTGCCAATAACTGTCACCAAATTACTGTCACAGCCTGCACTGAACAAAAAGAAAAAACAAATTGAAGTAAAGTGACGTCCTCAAAAAGAAATTTAATTATATTGAGATCATGGATGGAAGGTGCCTTGTACAAGAACAACAGACATCCTGGAAGAAAATGTAAAACATTACAAATAAAATATACATTTTCCTAGTACTAACAGACTGGACTAGCTAAGATAATAACATTCTAGGTGTTTGAGCTTATGTCACAAATCAGTGCTGAGAAATTTCAGTATTTTCAGAGGTACTGTTCTTTGGAGGATTTACATCGTCAGACCTCATATGCCTGTTCCAATGGCTGAGATTGATGTTAAAGATTCCTGGTGCTATTTGAAAAATAGAGAGTTCTTCTAATGTCTTGGCTAGTATTCCTCTCTCCATCAATATCATTCAAAAAGGTTAACTAATTCCTATCTTCATTTGTGTGATCAAGCTGAACATGTTTTAACTTTTTTTGCAAAGCAACAGGTGCTGCAAAATAATTTATTCCGTGCAAAGTGAACTGTAGTGACTCTGATGGTCATGACAATCATCTAAATAAATGCAAGTCTAATTTTTTGATGACAATTCTTACAGTTTTCCAGCCAATCTGCTTTTAAGGTCTTTGAAGATCGATAAGTGAGATGTATATTTTATGGAACTCTACATCACTATTGGCAGACAGTATGCATTCCTTATCAGGCGCACAGAAATCTTCAAATGAGGTAATGAATTTCTAATAGGTACCCAGAAACCAAAGTAAAACTGATGAATACTTCATTTCCAAAATCACTCTCAAAATCATTAACTCAAAAAATATATCTTCGTTGCACCCACTGTGAGTGCATGTACTTTTTAACCAAAGATGGCAAACAATTGCCACAAGTAATGATCATGTCATACTGCAATATTCAGCATCTCTATTAAATCCTGGCAGTAAATGCTGGTTGCACTATCAAAATCAATTCAAACTTGGCAATTGCTGAATCATGATACTTAACTGTAAATTGGATTTACAGAACTAGTGAGAGTTCAGCTCCTAGCCATTAAATTTCAAAAATCGTAAGTGCAGAAGCCTGGTTCAATGATGTGTGCAGGAAGGCATGTCAGGAACAGCACCAGGCCTAACTGCACTTTTTGTCCAATACTGCCACACATCTTGCCATAGCCCACATTGTTCAAACCCCTTATAAGATTCGCTCTTGCTTACTGTTCCCGCATTAAGTGAGGGAGGGAGGTACAGACCTCTCTCCTCTTTGGCATGTTAGGATCACTAGGCTATTCGCAAGCTCAGTATGTCTGTTACCATCACTGTGGATCTTAACTTAGGCTTTCCTTAGTTGAGATCAGTGGGGATAGCTGGAGACAAAAACAGTTGGGTAACCCTACTTTTGTACTGGACATACTACTAACTACGTAGGTCAGGCAGAGCCGGAGCCTCAGTTGACTTTGTTAGTATCTGATCTTACCTCACCGATGGTGCAGACTGTCCATTCACATATTTCGCATATATACAATTTTATATAAAATATATACAATACATACAATGCAGAATAGGCTGACCACAAGTCATAAGAGTCTGGAATGCACAACCTGAGCGGGTTGTTCAGTAATCTTACAATCTTTAAAAGATACTCAGATAAGCATGTGAAGTGTCATAAAATTCAACGCTATGGGCCTAGTGCTGGAATGTAAGACTAGTGCAGATTTAGTGTATTTTTGGCAGTACAGATTTGAAAGGCTGAAGGCCCTCTTTCTGTACTGTATGATTCGATGATTCTAAGCAGTCACACTCTCAAAATATTAGCAACTCTTCATAAATTCACAGTCTGGTACCTTCAGGACTTTTAAAAAGGTATTTTGGAACCATGGGAATTACACTCTACGGACTTTCAAGTCAAAGTACTAGAGTTCCTATTAGTCTACTCCAGAATCAGAAAGGTATCGCATTCCACAGTTGACTGCTTGTTAACAACTTGCAATCTGCAGCAGGACAGCTCTTTGAGTAGAATATCACTGGCAGGTAGAAGCACCCATGAAATTTCCCATCTGCCCTTCCAACCAACCACCCACCTGCCTCTGACCTGTCTACAATTTTACAGTAGACAATTGAAACTCAAAATGGCTTGCTCATTCTTGCCCTATTTGAGGCTATCAAGTGGCCAATTATTAAACAGCCTGGCTGATTAGCTTGGTTGGACCTGGGAGAGAAAAAAGGGTTGGGTGCTTCCATCAAAGAACATAGAACAGTACAGCATAGGAACAGGCCCTTCGACCTGCCATATCTTTACACTCTTTCCACATTATGTGACCTCCATAAAGTCTGCCCACTCACTCCCTCCTTTCTTCTCTACCTGACCACTCCATCATGTCCTAGCCCTGGTCCCCTTCCACTCCAATTGTGACTCTCTGGATTTACCAGGTCCTTGTAGTCCCAGCAGTTGCTACTGGTCCAAGTGGCACTGCTGGAAATACAAAGCTTGGCCAGTCAGATGGCTGCTGGTTCTCTGAGGTAGGATTCCGTGTATGATGAGGGGAAGCCTCAAGGGGTGGCACAGTGGCACAGTGGTTAGCATTGCTGCCTCACAACCCCAGGAACCTAGGTTTGATTCCAGCCTTGTGTGGAGTTTGCACATTCTCCCCATGTCTACATGGGTTTCCTCTGGGTGCCCTAGCTTCCTCCCTCAATCTAAAGATGTGCAGGCTAGGTGGGCTAACTGTGGTAAAATGTGAGGTTACAGGGATGGGGTGGGTGATCTTTGGATGGTTGGTTTGGATTCAATGGCCTGATGGCCTCCAACTGCGTGGTTGGGATTCTATGAATTCTATGATCTTCAGCACAATCAATGTGCAGTACAGCATTAAATGGCTGTGGAGCTGCAATGATTAGCAGAGCTGCTGCAATACTGACTTTTTCAGAGGTGGGCAAGAAGCCCTGTCAGCTGAAAACCCAACTCTTGGAGATCTAGTTGCTGTACAATTGAAAAAGTCATAAAAGTGTATCTAAACAGGCAGAATTATGTTTGTCTACAGATTAAAAACGAATGCAATAGCCAAAAAAAATTAAAATGAAATGGGGCCTACATCCTAGTCTCTTAACTTTATTCCCACTAAACTACTTACTATCCAACATACTTTCCTGACTCCCATATTAGTTGATATTGTTAATGATTCTCTCTCCGCAGGTACTGACTACATCACTTCAAATCTGCTATCATCTGCTCTCTCCTAAAAAATCCCTTAGCCCCTCTGCCCTTGCTGACTTTCACCCTCATCTCTTAAAATTTAATTTTCTCTTTTTTCGGATGCAGCTGCTTACCATATCTGTGCCCGTCATTCTAGAACTGTTTAAATCCCTCCAATCAGATGTCCACTCTTGTCACAGTACTAAGATGATTCTGATCGAAGTCACAAATGACATCCTATTTGATTGCGACAAAGTAAGCTGTTTCTTGTCATCCTTCTTAATCTGTCTGCAGCATTTGACATAATTGATCACGTCAACAAGGCGCCCCAAAGTTCATCTCCTCTATTCTCCAGTTGAGTGGGACTCTGTTGAAGGGTTCCATACCTATCTATCTCATATAGTTAGATAAGCAGTTGCCAGGGCTTTAAGTTCCAAACTGGCACAACACCACCCCCATTCTCACCTCCAACCAACAGATGGTGGCCTGTTTCTTGTTATATGCTAACTTCGTAGAGACATATTCAAAAAACACAATGTCAAATTCCAT